TATTAATCTTGGTGTGTTCTGGAGTGACATAACATTTTAAAATCATAAAAATGTTGCTTCTGAGTTTTAAAATTACTTGGTGGTTATATTACATTAAAGGCAGGAGAGCATAGTCATTAAATGCTCAGGCTCTGAAGCCAGACTGCCTGGATCTGAGTGCTCACCCTCAACTTACTGAATCTCATGCCGGTTATTTAGCTTCCAGCGCCTCATATTTTAAAAGGGGGAACAATAATGCCTGTGTCACAGGGTGTTTAAATATGAAATGAAGCAATGTGTATACAGAATGATGTCCAGCATGAGTAAAAATTCAGCAGCAGCCAGTACTACTTTGTGCTTTTATCCTCATTTACCCCTTATCTAGAGGCTATCAACAGTGTGCCAAGAACTGTGCTGGTTTTCAAGAACACAAAAATCTCTACGAGATGAATGCTGCCTTTGCAAATGTGTATTTTTTCCACTAGACATCATACAATGTTGTTCAGCAGTAGTGCTCTGGACTTCACTGTGGTTTAAGCAAATCTCTTGAGCAGCAGTGATTTACAATCTCCCATCACAACGTTGTCCATTTTTATAAGATCCAACACCTCTGTTCTTCCTACTCTTGTCCTCCAGTATGACAGCAAGATCTATTGAGCCCGAGTTGCCTTTGGTAAAGGTGTTTCCCTTCACTCCAGGCAATATCAATAAGTCAGAGAGCTGATGTCCCTGGACTCCTACTTATATGCACCAAATTTTTCAAAGCTGAATGATTGTACCACAGCCTCAGGGGTCTCTTGGATAACACATTAAACTTACATGTTATGTAGGATATGGTATTGATATGTGTATTTTTCTTTCCCTAAAGTACTTTTTTTTCAAAAAATGTAACTTTATAAAGTCTAATTTCTATAAGCTAGAGAGAAATGTTAATGTTTAGAATTTTCAGTGTTGAACCCAATGTACAATGAGACTTGTTTGGGAACATCAGTTATTCACTGCCTTGTAAGCCACATAACATTGCTCACCCCTTCCTAGCTTCAGGATTATAAAAGAGTCCAAGTAATTCTGTTTTGTTCATGATCGCTTTTGCACATGTTTGTAAGGATTCTAAATTAGGCACTGCAGGCTTGACATTAACATTTGAATAGATGAAAATTGTTGGTAGAAGGGACACTATGTCCTTTTGAGAATAATCACAGTACATTAAAATTAACAGATGAGCAGTTTTGATAACCTCTAAACAAAATTGAAAAGGAAAATGTCTAAATAAATAAATGAGAAGGGAATGGAAATAGCAAAGCACTTACATTTAAAATAACTAAGTGAAGTACCAAAAAGATGACATTAAAAGCTACTTTAACACCAAGGAAACCTTTTAGAGTGGAGGGGATTGTTGGGGCAGGGTGAATTGTTTACTTGCCAAGAACGAGAGACATTGCCATCCTATCTGCTTTGCTTATTCCCTGTATTTATTATAGGGAATGTGAAATGTTCAGATCATAGAGTATCTGCAAAAAAAGCCATTACTAAAAGAGAAATTGGATCTCTCAACTGCAGATCGAAAGATCCATAGTAAAATAAATTGGAAGCTTTAGATTTAAATGTGAATGCCAGGAGACCGGTGCCTCAAGAAGTTCTCAAATTGGACATACTACAGTTTATGAAATTTAAGTATTAAAAAATTAAAAAATCATATATTGGATATACTTAAGATTTTTAAAAGTCTTCCTGGTAATCTGACAGGCAGAATGTGATTGTTGACAGTGTTTTGTTAATAAGAATTAATACTGGAAAATTGTATAGCTTAGAATATAGTTTTAAATCAATTATGTAAAATGTTTTTCAATGTAAAATAGAAATGATGAACCATAGAGTAGAGAAAATATTTGTAAGAGACTTAACTGATAAAGCGTCATTATCCAAAATGTAGAAAGAGCTCAAAAAATGAATAAACTAATTAAAAAGTGAAATGAACACCTCACCAAAGAAAATGGCAAGCAAGCATAGGAAAAGCTGTTCAACATAATATGCCATTGGGAAGTAAAACAACAGCTACCCAAATCCAAAACACTGACAACATTAAATTTTAGTGGATATGTCCAGCAACAGGATACTTATTTATTGCTGATGGAAATGCTAAATGGTACAACAACTTTGGAAGACAGTTTGAACAGCTTCCAATAAAACTACATATACTCTTAGCATATGATTTCGCTCTTTGGTAGGTACCCAAATAAATTAAAGTTATTATTCCAAAAAACCTGCACACAGATGTTTATAGCAGCTTTATTCATAATTAGCAAAACTTGGAAGCAGGTGAAATGTCCTTCATTCTTTTTTTGGCCGGGTACTGGTCATCAAACTCAGGACCTTGCACTTTTGAGGTAGGCAGTGGAACCACTGAGCTAAATCTCTGGGCCTGAAATGTCCGTTAGTAGGTGAATAGTTAAATAAAATGTGGCACATCCAAGCAATGACATATTATTCAGCGCTCAAGTGAAATGAGTTATTAAGCCATTAAAACACGTGGAAGAAACTTAAATGAATATTTGTAGGTAAAAGAAGTCAATCTGGGGAAAAAAAACAAACAAACCCAACTATCCATTCTGTGATTTCAGCTATATGACATTTTGGAAAAGACAAAATCATGGAGACAGTAAAAAGTTTAGTGGTTGTTAGGGTTTAGTGGGGAGGGAGGATTTTTTAGGGCAGTGAAGTCACTGTGTATCATATTTTAATAGTGAATACATGCCATTATTCTTTATCGAAGCACATAGAATGCACCACATCAAGAGTGAACTTTAATGAAAACTGTGGAGTTCGGGTGACAGTGCCATGTCAATTTGGGTTCACAGATTGTAACAAATGTACCACCCTGTTGGGGGATGTTTTAGAGTGGGGGATCTGTGTATGTGTGGGCATAGAAAAAGTCTGTACCTTTAGCTAAATATTGCTCTGAACCACAAATCTTTCTCAAATGTGACATTTATTAATCTAAAAAAGAGGAATGATCTATTGCTATGACATAATGTAATAAGCAAAACTAGTCATTAGTGATGTAACCAGGATACCAGTTTCTTTTGTTTCAATTTTAGTATATGTGCTGCCAAAGCAAGCACAACTGGTTTCTTTTGGAAAAATCAACTGGAAGGGGGCATTAGAAGGATTTCTGGGGGTGCTGTGCAATGTTCTATGTCTTGATTTCATTGATAACCACTTTGTGAGGATACATAGAAATATACGTTTACTTGTCTCTCATATATATATATGTGTGTATATATATATATATATTCAATATCTTACTATGAAGCATTTTATATATACAAAAGAACCTGCCCAACTTTACATGTAAATTTCAATTATTTCCCAAAAGTCCTTTGTTTTCCTGGGGGGAGTAAGTAATCCCTGCTCACTCTTCTTTCAATAATTTTGGAAGAAGTTAATGAAGCATTGATGGATTAATTAAGACCCAACTAAGACAAGGGAAAACACTCTAAGTATTTAGAGTGGATGCAGTTTTGTCCAGGGAAATAAACAGCTAGATGATGGGCAAACTGAGAAGCTGCACTGTAGAAAGTCAATCAATTTAAAGACTAAAAGCAGCAGAAAGCCCAAGGCACCATCACCCACAATTCTCAAAGGACAAAGGGAAGAGAGAGTGCTGCTGTAGTTCAGGGCTCCAGGTCACTTGGGGAAGCTAGTGGCAAGAGCTGGAGCTGATCCCTAGGGGTCAGGGCCCCTGGAACAATGTAAGAAGGGCAGGGCAAAGCGTAGATCTTATGGTAAAAGTGCACACAGAGGGTACAACTGGAGAATAAAGATCAGTAAATAAGTTTTCCAGTTTTATCTTCTCTTCCATAGTAAATGCTACACTAAGCAAACTGATTTTTAGTGACTTTTTGAAGTGCACTAAGCTTAGCTCTTGGGAACTTCATTTAACAAATGTCCTAAAAGTTACTGAAATCTCTATTTTAGTTTTATATCCAACTTCAATAAACCAAGTTTTCACACCTATACAATTAGGAAAGAATTACTCACTTTCATTTTGAAGTTAATCAAAAGTATTAAGGGGCATGCTTGCTTTTCAGATAAGATTTAGATGGTGATTAGCGCTCTGTCAGTTGCACGGTTTTATTCTGAATTGAATGTAGGCATATTCTGATATTCTGGATGTCACCATTCTTCAAGTAGATAATAAAGACGCACTTTGAAAATGGATCTAAAGGAGGAGGTGGGAAGCCACGCAATTGCTTCAATATGATCAGCACTTGGTTTCTCTATTACTCTCTGTTGTACCGAAAAGTGATAATAACATATTTCAGATCAATGTTAGAGCACTAATTTTAGGCTGTGTGTGTTTTCTCGTATGGAAAGATTATCACATACGATGATGTAAGATATGTTTACAGTATTTATCCATTTTATAGCTAGGCAAAACAAAGCTTAGTGTGTGTGCATATGTGTGTACATGCACACACATGTGCCTAGTTGTATGTGGCAGTTTAAAATTTAGTACATCAGACCTTAACCATGTCCTTATTTTAGTTTAGGTACTATAAAATCTCCTAACAGGCAGCTTTTGAAATGTTATCCTTATCTCACATGTAGATGTGTTAATGATGAAACTATTACTATGACTAAATTCCCTTCAGTTTCTGCCATTAAAAGATGACTTTGTCTTAATCTGGCTTATTGCTTTGATAATATAATGCATTTTCTGTATTAAAAAAATAAAGTGACCTTTTGAATAGAATGGAATGTTAAAGTATTTGCCTAATAGAAACGTGAAAGAAATTTAATGGTTGTCTCTGTGTTAGACAACTTCAGTTGGTTTATGATAACAGTAAACAGACAAAAGGTAGAGAAATGAAGTCTTTCACTGTCTGGCACCTCGCTAAAAGTAGAAAGCAGGAAGGCATTGATAATGTTTAACCTTGATTTTTCCATGAAAAGAAGGGAATTATTTTACAGGAAAACAGTTCTGTGCCCATCTTAAATTCTTTGTCTTAATCACTTACCTAAAATTGAGTGAAGAAACAGCATGAACTTCCCAAAACCATCTATGTTCTTTTCTTTGAAATGGTAGTTGATTATGTCATTTAAACACTTCCTAAGTACTTCACCCAGGGTCTGGTAAATCCTATATATCTGTAACGAGAAACAAATATTCATTTAGTTAAGCAACTCACCTTACATGTTTATTACAGAAACAGGAAACCAGGACTGACATATCTAGAACATATGGTGTCTTAGAACCTTTTCATACACTGTTGATAACTTGTAATACTGAACCGAGAACCTTGGTTTTCATTTACGGTAAGAAACTGTAAAGTATATCTATAAAAAAATACATTCTACTTAAATGTCACTCTGGTAACAGAAAATGATTAAAGATAAAAAGCTAGGTAAAAGTTCCTTATGTCATAAAGATAACCAATTAAAAAGTTATTCTATATTAAAATGGAAATTTAAATGAGCTTCAGAGATAATGTGATCATGATTGTCTTGCTAAAATGCTATGATATAATAAAAATATGTTCTAAAAAAATGTTTAGAATATTGGGCCTTTACTTTAGAAGTCCTTCTATAGTTGAGGATGGTCAGGCCCAGGGATGAAATGATGGTCCATGATGAGAAAGCTAATTAGTAACAGAAAGTGGCCTGGAAACTTGGGTTTCCAGTGTAGTTCTTTGTTTTTAGTTAAGATCCCAAAGACAGGAGAACGTGGATACTTCTATGTTTTCCAAGTAGGTAAATTATTTTTTGGAGGGGGGAATTGGGGGAATATTGCTATCACCACCATTTCTCTAAAACCATGGAAACTACTTTTGAAGTCAAAATCCACAGTACACTGTATTCTCTAATGCCTTAAGCCTGAGTAGTTGTAGGTAGATATCCCATAAAAGTGACCATTGCAATGGCAACCCAACATTTTTTTTTTTTTTTGCACAGGGGATCAAACTCAGGTCCTTGCACTTGTGAGGCAGGCGGCAGCACCACTGAGCTAAATCCCTGGCCTGCAACCTAACATTCTTTAATAATTCATATGATTTAGTAAGTTGTATAATAACATAAATAGTAAATAGTTCACAAAATTGGTTCATGTTTCTTAAAGCTAAATTGCTTTACAAGCTTTTGCCTAATGAGAAAATTTATAGATGAGAACTGAAAAAAGATTTACATTGCTCTTGCCAGAGCTTAGGGAAAAGAAAAAAATATGAGAAAATGAAATAAAGTATTTGTAAATAGGGAAGGGAGGAGAAGGTGAAGGAAGGGCAGAGGTAAGGGGAAAAAATGAGAACCAAGATCTGTCATATAAAGGTACAAGATCCCAATGATGAATGTATCTGTACTGTATACCTAAAAAGTACCAATAAACTCAATGAGAGAGAGAAAAAAATATTTCCTGTGTGAATAATCTGCAATAATACATAAGATCCTAATAAGATTACTGACATTTAGAAATGGGAAGAAAGGGGCTAAAGGTGTAGGGAAGGTGGGATGGGTAGGGGAAGGGTAACAAGGGAAAAGAAAAAAATGTGAGATAATGAAAAGATGGAAATAAAGTGTTTGTAGATGGGGAGGGAGGAGGGGGTGAAGGGAGGGCAGGGACAAGGGGAAAATATGAGCTGAAAAAAAAAATTCCCTGACTGCCTGGAGGGACCCAGGTACACTATCTACCCTCTCCTATCAATTATTATTCTCAACATTCTTCTCTTCCTCTCCCCTTTATCTCTTTTCTTCTCCCTCTCAGTATATGGTCTGGATGTCGCTATCTTAGTGGCCAGATGACTTGGAGTAGTAAAAATCTGAATCTCTGGAATTTACATGCTAAGGAGAAGGAAAAGAGTGAGGTGACGGGACACAATGAATTAAAGGCAGAAGGCACCTGATCACAGTGGTGATGGACACCATTGGCCCCCAGCCCGGCTCAAATCTTGTATTTTTCTTCACAACTCTTAAAAATTCAGATTATTGTCAATGATCAAAATAATTAGTTTATTCGGTGGCCTTGCAAGTGCAAGGACCCAAGTTCAATCCCCAGTACCAAAACCCAAACCAAACCAAACCAAACAAAACAATTAGTTTAGCTTCCATGACTGACTTTAGATATCCTCTAATTTTAGCTGCATCCAGAAAATTCTATAACACTATCTCCCCTTTCTCTAACATAAGTTCTTAGTTATGTCCACTAGTATATGATCATATTTATTCAACAGGAGCTAAAGAAATTCTTACTGCATATTTAATCCTTTTTCTGTCACATTAGGACAACATTGTTTACTTTTGATTACACCCTAAGTACATGCATAGATTTGGCATTCTTTGAATTAAATTATTTTGACCACAGTAGTAATTTCATGTTTTTTATTCTTTCCTTAAAGTATATGCTAGTATTATTTTAACAAAATGAAGGCCAGAGATTTAGCTCAGTAGTTCCACTGCCTGCCTCGCAAGCACAAGGACTCTAGTTCAATATCTGTGTACCAAAAAAAAAAAAAAAAAAAAAAAAAGATCTAGGGGTGAATCAGACTATGCACTTGGGAATAAGTTATATATTAAAAATATTGCCCTCCAGTGAGTGCAACTTTCCAAGTCACATAATCATGAAATAAAGAGAATCATACACATGTTCTTCTATATAAGGATGAGCACAGAGATAAAGTTACGTGTAGCTCTCTCTGTTAATGTAAAATCACCAAACAAATCCCTTGGCATTGACCTGGTGACCTTTAGAATTTGTTGCTCTTCTGCCTATCAATCAAGCTTGGGGTTGGTGCTTTACAGGTTTATTTTTGGCCTAGGTTTCTGGGTTACACCATACTGCAGTGGTCTAGAAGGGAGATTAGGCAGTGAAAAAGGCACTGGACTGAAGTCCTGCACGGGTGGCTCAACTTGACTGGGATCTATGACTTTAATAAAGCTGCACCTTATTGTGAGTGTAGGCTGGCTTCAGTTTTGTCATTACTCCTCTACCACAAAGTGGCCCTAGTTTCAGCCTGTATCTCACAGGCAGTGATCAAAAGCAGGTGTCTAATCCGTAGACAGATCCATCTCTACTACTCTTGGCTTCTATTCCCTGTAGCACCTTTAGAGTACGCAGAACTGCATATAGATAATTCTTTCCACTCTTGAACCTGAGTGTGGCTGCCTCACAAACTGCCAGTGAATTAAGGCCATCAATCTTTCTCTCTCTCTTGCTGCAACCTATTGGGCATTTGCAAAGCAAAGATTCTCAGTGGAACACTGGGTAGGAAATGATACCTTTGCTCCTTAAATTTCAGGCCTGCTAACTTAAATTATAGGCTAGCTAACCTAGAATTTCTCGTGTGACTAGAAGTTAGGATTTAATGTCTTGGGATGAAAACACTTTTATCTATCTTTATCTAGCTCTCTGAGAAATTTTCAGAAGAGTTCAGACCAGAATTAGTCTGTGGATATCTTACAACAGACTACCAGAAGAGAAGGAATTTCTTTATTACTACCATCAGAAAGTGGACTCAATCTAGAGGTTTGGTAATTAGTTGTGACGCAGGATTTGATAAGGCACATTCTTCACTATATAAAAATAAATAAGTGGTCGCTTCTGGCTCTGATTGCATAGGACCTAGTCAAATATGAGGCTGAATATTCATGAGACTAATATTCATATTGTTATTCATGTCTAATGAAGATCTTGTCAGTGTCCAGTGGCAGCTGTGTTTGTGGGATAGGCAGGTACAACTGTCATCACACGGAGCAGGTAGGAGCCAGGGTGCTGCTGGACAACTACAACACACAGGACAGCCCAGCCCAAATAATCCAGTCCAAACCTTAACAGAAACTGATCCAGATGGTTAGTGTTAGCATTAATCCTATTCCTGCAATTTCATCACAGGTCTGTCCAGACCTCTGAGTTGCTCGGTGTTAAGCCTGAGTTCCCTTCTGAAGTTTCCTCAGATTCTGTATATCATCCTCAGCTCCTTCCTGCACCTCCTACTTCTCCTCTTATACCTCCACACCCTATACCTTGGTGCTGCCACACCACCTGTTGAGTTCCTTCATTATAGCACCTGTTACCATGGAAGATTATCATAACTTTTCTTATCTCTCTGTAAGAAAATGTACACTTTGAGTGCGGGAGCTATCTTGTTTATTTCTTTGTCATTTGTAGTGCACCATCTTTAATGATAAATAATAACTCAGTAAATGTTTTAGTAAATGACAGATCAATGGACAATTAGCAAACCCAAAACTCATGGTTTTCTCACCTGGTTCTTGAACAAAATTGTGTTATAAATTTATGCAGATAATTTCACCAAAGTATTAGTTATTGGCCTAAGAATATCAAAGTGACTTAGTAAGCTGAAGTAAAATTTATAGCCCTTGGGTTAAAGTCAGGATCATCCCAGACACAGGATATTACATCAGAATCAGGAAGAAGCCTGGAAGGAGGACATTTAAAAATTAGAGGAAGTGAGAAGGGTAGGGGAAAGGTAATAAGGGAAAAGCAAAAAATATTAGAAAATGAAAAAAATGGAAATAAAGTGTTTGTAAATGGGGAGGGGAGGAGGGGCTGAAGGGAGGGCAGAGGCAAGGGGAAAAAATGAGAACCAAGACCTGTCATGTAAAGGTACAAGATCCCAATGATGAATGTAACTGTACTGTATACCTAAAAATGTACTAATAAACTCAATGAGGAAAAAAATTAGAGATAAAATTACTGCCTGGGGACACTTGGCATGCTGTCTGCTTCAAGGACCTGCTCTTGTTGACACAAAACTCAGCCTGAAAACCAAGAATGTCTTGCATATCTATATATAATTCCTGTTACTAGCAAAGATTGCTACTTCAGGCTCCTAGGAGAAAGGCTTCAGCTGTGATGGTCTCTTTGATCAGACTGTGAGACTCTTGTGAAGAGCATGATCACAGGTCAGGCCGACCTCTCCTGCCAGTGGAAGGACGGTTGAGACTGGCTACATTTGCTCCTCTGCAGAGTGGCCACCTCATTTCTGGGGAGTTTCAAAGCCTTTGGCCAAATAACTAGGGAAATGAATCGAATTTTGAGGGTGGGGGTTGTATATCATTAATGTCTCCCCATCAGATCACAGCCCTATACTCTCACAAACATGAGTATATTCCACGATTCTAGGAATCTAGATGTTGGC